GAAACAAAGATGTTAAATATTGTACAAAATTTGGCCTCATCTAAATAAGTCTGCTGATGAAATATGATAATATTGTCAATTGTCAAAATATATGTTATAAAGTATTTTATCGTTAAAAAAAAAATTTTGGTCGCACATAAAACACTTGAAACAGGAAGCAACTGGTATCCCTAGCCTTAAACTAAGAGATAAATTAGAATCAGACAACAGAATCAAAGCAAACATACTTAACTTCCAATTTAGTTCTGTCTTTACTGAGGAAAAAGAACAACTCCCCCACCTCCCCCGCAGTACCATTCCCTCAATACCAGAATTCAGCATTAATACTAACGGAGTTATCAAACTCCTGAGTGATCTGAATCCACACAAAGCTAAGTGGACCAGATGGCCTTTCAGCAAGAATTCTTAAACTAGCGGCCGTTGAGTTAGCCCCAGCCCTAACCTTAATATGTCAGAAATCTTTAGATTCAGGCCAAATCCCGTCCACTTGGCTACACGCAAACATCACTCCCATTTATAAAAAAGGTGATAGGACGAAACCTTCTAACTATCGCCCCGTCTCTCTCACTTGTGTTTGTAGTAAGGTCATGGAGCACATTATCCACTCCCAGATTATGGACCATTTTGATATGTATTCTATCTTAACTGAAAACCAACATGGTTTTAGGAAGAAACATTCGTGTGAGACTCAACTTGTCCAAACCACAAATGACTTAGCCCTTTCCCTAGATTCCAAATCACAAACTGATCTAATCATAACTGATTTCGCCAAAGCCTTCGATAAGGTTCCCCATAACCGTCTACTCTTAAAACTACATAATTACGGTATCCGAGACAAACTCCTCCAGTGGATTTCTAACTTCCTAAAAAAACGTAAACAAAGGGTGGTAGTTGGGGGGGAACATTCAGATTGGGCAGAAGTAGTTTCTGGAGTACCCCAAGGCACCGTACTAGGGCCTTTATTGTTCCTAGTATACATAAATGATCTGGCTGATAACCTTAACTCTAACATCAGGCTTTTCGCCGACGACTGTGTCATTTACAGAGAAATAAATAACGACAATGACCACATCCTACTACAAGATGATATAAACACGTTAGACGCATGGCAGTGCAATTGGCAAATGGAACTACACCCTGATAAGTGCTATGTCATGCGCTACACCCATAAACGCAGAACTAAAGTATTTGACTACAAACTAGGGAGCCATACACTAGCTGAGGCTAATAACCACAAGTACCTAGGGGTTATCTTAAACAACAAACTTTCTTGGACTGAACACATCCATCATATTACTTCCAAAGCAAATAAATCACTAGGTTTTATTAAACGCAATCTCTATAGCTGTCCTAAATCAGTTAAGATGAATGCATACACTAGTTTAGTCAGACCCCATCTTGAATACGCTAGCGCTGCATGGGATCCGTACTTCAAGGAACATATTCACAAGTTAGAATCGGTCCAGAAAAGAGCGGCCAGATTTGTTTCTAATACCTATGATACTTATGCCAGCACTACCAAATTGGTCACAGATTTAGGGTGGGACACATTAAAGGACAGACGCACAGCAAGTAGACTCACATTACTTCAGAAAGCAAGACACTCAAAAACAGCCCTTCCGGTCAAAACCTTGTTGACACCTATCCCGCGCCAATCGCGACACTTCAACTCCAACTCATACAAACCTCTAACGTTTCACAAAGACTGCTACAAATATTCATATTTTCCACAAACTGTCAGAGATTGGAACATTTTGCCCCAAGAGATAACTGATACTGCGGAGCCCACGAAGTTCAACGCTGCAGTACTACAACACCTGAGGACGCAGCAATAGCGCATCGCACAGCTCCCCTGCACGCTTTACCCCAATCTAGGGGTGTTGTGCAGTACCTGAACAAGACAAGACAAGATCGTTATCTTTGACAGTTGATGGACTTTCCATACTCATTAGATACCTAATGTATAGAAGAAGAAATAACTTGTGTCGCAGTGTTAAAGTAAACATACATACCTTTTCGTCGGATAGGGGTACGGGTGGTGACTGGACTTGTCTAACCCCTATAGATAATGCCCCAAAGGCCAGAATTATGCTAACAACGGTGGGTGTACGGGTTCGTGGCATCGGGTGCAGTTCGTCGTGATAATTTTTTTCTCCAAGTCCAAGTTAAGATTACTCTCTGCTGGTTCCCCACGATTCTCCTGGAGCGCAGTCAACCAATGCAGCGGTCACTTTAGAAGTTGGAAAGTCCTTTAAAAATTCTTGTTGAACTTGAAGATTTAGAAGTCCAACGTTACGCCCGTGCATCAGTCAGTCGTCAGAAATGTTCGAAGATTACATGAATTCTACGATGCATCAGGCACCCTGACTATTACACGAGATTCCTGATGAATATATACACAATCCTGTTGATAAACCGTTGCCGAACTATCCTTAATGTACTTGTAAAACGATGTTACAAGACATCGTAACAACAGTAGTCGTTGTTCTACGCCATCTTGTCCCTCTTTCTCCCCAAAAAAGGGAGTCACTTTCGCATAGCCCTCTGGGAGAGTGGGATCGTCCATTCCGTGAAGTAGGAGGGATGATCCATAAATTGCTATCAGCCTAAAGACCAGAATGCCAACGTAAAAAAAAAACAAATTGTCAAAATATCTATGCGCTTTGATAAAGAGGACATTTATTAATGATGAAATCTACTTTGAAAACTGATAGTTGTGGTACGATTTTACAAAACTGTAACTTGACTAAGGTAGTTAACCCCCTTGCTTTGAAACTGAATGAGTCTGTCTGTGTGCAGGGGGAATCCCCTGACGTCAGTGGGTCTCTCTCCTGACGTCAGTGGAGGACCAGCTATAAATCGGTGTACACGATTATTTTGGTACTTATTTTTTAGATAATTTTTTTTCCTGGGCAAATTTTGCTCAGAAAGGCCCAGTTTTCTGGTAAGAAGGACAGAAGAATTTATATTTTTGAAATATGGCAAAAAGTGTCACCTTTTCCATGGTTTGACCTGTTTAATAATATTGACCTCTAAAAACTTGTGATCTGTGTGGACTGTTCCACTTTGCCAGGGGGTGAAATCCTGGTCTCATTTCAGTATTTTAGCTGTAGCTCATTATCACGCCGGAGTTGAACTTCCACTATTTGTACCAAAAGACACCTTTCCAGTGGGAGTAAAGACTTGAGGTTTGAGATAAAAGTAAATGTGTTTTAAAGTGTTTGTTTCTAGTGGTTTTAGCATATATTTCAATGGGATCTCCTTAACTGGTCCCTGCCCGTCACTAGATGATGATGAGTTGGATAAATCTATTGCATCATCATAAGCCTCCTTGGATACTAGTATATATTGAAACACATGCATATGCGTATGATATGGCACGTGTTTCTGTACATATCCAAGGAGGCTTATAGCTTCCTTGATGTATCTGAATACGACTTTATTTTCTTGATGCATATTTGGTTTCTATCGACTTGTATTCAATCCATCAACTCAATAATAAATAACGTTATATCATTCGTAAAGGGTTGAGGCCATATCACAAATCAAATATTTAAATATATCTGATCTGTGTTTAAAATTTCAACAATCTAACAAGCCTCCACGAGACAAGGCGCATACAGTATTAAACACCAAGTTTGTGGTGCTACGAGATGACCAGCTACCAGTTACATGTTATAACAAACATGCGTTTTGTTTAAATCAAGGACATTATGCCATACTACAATGATTTCATCAACACATGACGATTATTGTGTCTGGGGAAGGGGTATCGTTGAAATTCATCAGTAATATAAAACTGTGCATTCAATTAACATTACACATTCATGTTCGACAGTTACACAGGTATAAAATGCAGGTGTCATTGATCACCTATCAGTAGCGCCACCTTGCAGTTTATAGCTAAATTGTCACTAGTTGGCACTAACTGTCACAACTAGGTGGCAGAGATTGGAAGTTCCGATGGGGTTTGTGCTCAAGCAATGGAGGTGCTCACAAGAGCCGCTAAGCGGGTGCACCTGGAATGTCGCTCGATCGAGGGTACGGAAGAACTGCCACCAATTACAGCCTTTATGGACGATCTGACACTTAGTAAACACATTTAAGCGTCACAGAGAAACGGTCTTCTGACGGAAGTGTCAGACAAACAGCAGTGAGGTGTATCGTAAGACCATTTGATGAGGTCTCGACGTCGTCGAAAAGACTTTTAATATTACTTCAACAGGACATAGAGTAATATATATATCCTCCACCATGTCTGTATGTATTACCATATGTTTCATATTCCATGAAAGCCACTAGGCACATATTACTGCGCATGCCACCACATTTAGTGCATATCGTCGGCTGTAACATTTCGTACAACCACCAGGAGGCGCTGTGAACGTAGTGAAAAATGCTGTCCATGAACTTGGCGATAATGAATGCTAGCAACCACAAATGGTGTTGCAAACAAGCCATTATTGCCTTTCGTCTGTAGATCTATCCTACTGTCAAAATAACATCTGAACCAGTCAGGCATTAGTTTACCCTTGCCTATATTTGTTAGGGTTTTTAATCTTGTCGAACTTTTCTACTTCTTTATCTGTAACATGTATCTGATAAACCTGCAAGGTTTGTATATAGAGTGTTATACATGTGAATATGTCTCTTACTAAATTGTTGTCATGTCACAACACAATTCAGTTTTGAAATAAACCATTCATATACATATAACATGTATTGATTGAAGAAATGGTATTACGGGAGCTAGCATCGTGAATCAAAATTGCTCGTTTTTGTATTTATTTATTTATCAATTTATTTATATATTTCATCACAAGACGGCTGGGTAGCCCCATTCAGCATACATTAGCTGTTTTCCAAGGGAGCCCGGCAAAATTAGCCTCTACCAGGCTTGGGGAGGCGGCTGGGAAGAGTAGAAATCGGCCAACTGAAATAGAGGGAGTTTGTCCGTTGAGAGAACAGTTCTACTCTTTCCAGCCGCCTCCCCCAAGCCTGGTAGAGGCTACGGCAAAATTACAAGACCTTGTTATATACAGTAAAACAAGAGTAAACATAAAACATAAAAGTATCCTCTCCCTGCCACACTTTTGTAAACAGAGGCGTGAGATCGCAAGTCAACGTCTTGCAGGAGAAACCTCTGCTAAAGCCTCAGTGATGTGTTGTTTCATGGCGTTGGTCATGTCCACCATGTTCTGGACGTCCTCCCAGTTGTCATGTAGATCCTGGGCGGTCGTGATGTCTTGTTCCTTCAGCCAAGACAGTATCGGCAGTACTCTATCCGGCTGTAAGACGAAACATGTACAGAGTTCATAAATCCTACACCATGGTAACAGTAAAGCCTCGGTCACAACCCGCCGTACGTGCTTTTTGTCCGTACGTTTTTTGGGAGGCCACGTCTGCTACGTTTTTCTGAAAACGTGCGTTGTACGCTCATAGGCTGTACAGGGCACGCGCGTCGCACGTACGGGTGGTGAATCCACAGACCGCACCCATGAAAAGTTCTACATGCACTTATTAAAGTTCTACGGCGTCTGCGTGCTCCCAAATCCGTAGGATTCCGTACGGTGGCGGTACTCACCACGCACGGATGCCCTGCGTTTGCCCACGTTTTTGCACGTAGAAAGCACGCAGAAGCACGTACGGCGGGTTGTGACCAAGGCTTAACAGGCAATTTAACTCTTAACACTATAAATACACGTGTATAACCTGCAAACAGTTCTTTAATTTGTTTAGACGATGTTTTGTGTCTTATATATGTCCAGACGTATTTTGTTTATGTCTCGTGGCCTTCTACTTTTCCATATCAGAAGGGAAATTGTTTCTGTATGTTTCTATAGAAAAATGAAAACCATTGATATTTCAATGCACATGTCATTGCACACATATGTGTGACTCACGTGCCATTGAAAACATCCAGGAGGTAGATTTTTAAATCTTTTATACATGATACTTACGTGAATGTATCGTGTGGAACAGAGACGGACAAAGAAGTCGTCGATTGCGTCATAACGTCCGGAAGACAGGAGTACTGTATAACGGTACAGAAAAACTGTCAAAACATGGTTGATAAAGGATTCGAACTCCTGTGCCAATTCTTGATATACTGTTATCTGCCAACGCTTGCGATGATATACTAAGGGAAGAATAAACAGTATAAAAGGACAGAATAAAAGTTACACGATGCGTAAACAATAAATCTAATGAGATGCTTATCAATTATTTATATCATACTGCAGTGTCCAGTCATAACGGTTTCACTTTCGCATCATCAATGTATTTTACAACAAATAACATTTACAGTTACTATCAAAGCTAATGGCGGACTTTAAGATAACAAGACTCTGAGTCTCTGTGTTTGTCCCTACCTGGTACGTGTGCCTGCCTTGAGCGGGTGTTCTGTGCGGAGTGTCCGCCTGTCGGAGTAGGCCCTGTCTGCTGTACGTGTGCCTGCCTTGAGCGGGTGTTCTGTGCGGATTGTCCGCCTGCCGGGGTAGCGCCTGTCTGCTGTGCGGCTGTCCCAGCCGTGTCGCCCGAGGAGACCACGTCGTGAGCGTGGTTTGCCGTCGGTAGGCTGTGCCACTCCCTGCTGCACGCCACAGGCACGCTCTCCCCGCGAAAGTCGAGGCTGTAGGACGATGTAGTTACCGGTTCGTCCTCACGTCTGCAATGGGTACCAGCATTCCCAATAATACCGCGCAGCTTGTTGACGAAAAAGCTAGTCGGCAGTCCCTCCACGCCACTCCGCGGAAGTTGACACGCCAGGCGACAGTTGGGGCAGGTCAGCTTCCCCATTTTCGCTACCATGTTTTCCAGGCATGTCTTGCAGAACGTGTGCTGACATGGCAGGACTTTTGGGTTGAGGTAGTCTTCGAAGCAGATTTGACACACCAGGAATTCTTCCTTGATTTGGCTCGTAACTCCAGACGCCATGTTCGAAAGTATAGTACACAACAAGGCGGGTGAGGTCAGAGGTGACAACGTCGAAGTTTAACTCCCATATAAACATGCGTGCGTGCGTGCGTGCGCCTGCCTGTCTGTATCTGTATCTGTATAGCAGCCTTTTGGCGTAACACAGCAGCTTCGCACGCACGCGGTGCGGCGGCAGCTGGCTATATTACACCGATCTACTTGTTACACCTAACCCTTGAACTTCTAACTCTAGACATTGTTTAAAGTTAGAGTCCACAGACCCGCCCTTCATTAGTGAACACTTGGCAGCTGTGAGCCATTGATTGCCCACTAAACTGTATTCTTACCATGCGTATGTACAACCAGTGGGTATTGCTCAATATAGCACATTATATTTTAAAAAAAGCTATCTAATGACTACGCCCCTACTGTACTTGGTGACAGTGAGTTCCACTCTGCGATATATAGTTCTAGGAAAGAATGAATTCTTGAACACCTCAATCCTTGGTTGATAACTCTGGTACTTGAAGGCATGGCTATTTCTTGTTCTCTTCTGGGCTGGTATTAGGTACTTAGTAGTTGGGAGTTTGTCTGTGTATAGGGGCTATTAATTTCAAAGAGCATGTACAAGTCACCTTCGAAGTCATTCGAAACGTATGACTCACACAATGTCTACTTGTATCAAAGCTGGAGTCGCTTAAAATTAGGGACAACAGTTTCGGCTGTTTACATGTATATCGTCTGTACTTCCTTGACCCCACCTGTTCAACACTATACCAGTATATATTCATATGGTTAGGGCCATATTTACATGTAGTACCTTAAGTTAATGTGTGGCCCGGGTGCGTGATCTATGACCCGAATGGATCCGAACCAATGAAAACGAGCCTTCCTTTGACAAGTCAAATACTTCTACACAGTCAAGCCTAGCCTGGTATCCAGTCTTACGTGATTGGGGGTATTGGGGTGTTCAGGCAGGTTGTGCCTTCGGGTGCTCTAATAGCTTCCCCGCCCAGTGCAACAGACCGTCCCGGTAGGAGAGTTACGCTAGACAGTATGCTTGGGGATTTGGTTTCCCCCCAACACGTGGAGGGCTAATCAATCTCTGGTGAAATACACACCGAGAAACCTATGTGAGGCGGGCGGGACAGAGCTCTTTCGGCCCCGACCACGATCAGACTGGATACCAGGCGAAGTCAAGCCAGGCTCCTGTGACTTGCGCACTGGGAACCCTGTCGGTTAGGCCTGACAGAACATGCAAAACGATGAAAAGATGACCGAAACCTTGTGTTCAATGGTTTCAGTATCCACCCACAGACTGTACCCACGAAAATCTGTGTCCATGAGGCGGTACCCGGTACTATATATTTGTGAGGTTTTCTGATTCATCCCAGCGATACATGTGAGAGCGTCAGCACAATATAATGGGCTCTGCGGCCTCTGCTGTAAGTGTTTTTCCCCTTACTTGTAACGTCCTCTAATATTTGAAAGAGGATATATTTTTTATCAAACCTGAAGGTTTGAAAATCCTTACACTTACAAAAATTCTCTCCGGCAAACGTTAGCGACCGTTCAAATTTTACAGCCACCTGTGTATTAGTCTCTACCAGACTAACTACACTGGCTACATCTAGGAGAATATTTGCCAGGGGAGTTTGGCCGCCTTGTAGGTTTAACTGGCCCGCGGCCGGACTCTCTTGGCCACTTGTACTCTCTTTTTTGCCGAATTCTACGATCCGTATTCCCGTAGAAAGGCCTGGTGCAGGCTACCTGTGTATGGAGCCAAGTAAAGTAACAGAGGTTGTATTACAACATGCACTATAAACAAAATAATCATTTTGGTTTGGCAACATTACTTTCTTTACTTTGGTCGAGCTCACGCTCGAGTCAAACTTGAAAACGGCGTCCTCCATCAGAGACTGGATTTTCTTTTATTTGGCAACACAAAACTGACAAAAAACTGCCATACTGAACATACATGTAACGTTTTTGCACATCACATACACTAAACATTCAATCATCCCCATGGCAACGGTTTAATTGCCTGGCTTATTTACGTTCGGATATCTATTGTGTTCATCGTATTGTATGCTGTGTGTTGCTGCCTATGTCTTGATTGTCCTGCTGGCATTGTTTTACACAAAATTTTCAAATAATTTGATGTCTAAATCAGGACATAAAACCCTGACTTTTTTTGCCCGCTGTGGCATGGTTACTTCCGCGTTGCGTTTCGCTGCGGTGTGTTTCGTCGAGAAATACCCGACTAAATACATACACAGAGCGCTATATATATATGGTGCTGTATATGTAACCCACATATATGTGGGCCCCACAGGACAAGGGTTGATTTGATATTTGTATAATTTTTACCTTCGCCAAGAATTGACGAAGGTTATGTTTTCCTGGCCGTGTGTCTGTCTGTGTGTCTGTGTTTCTGTCTGTCAACAGCATAACTTGAGAAAGCTTAGATGGATTATCTTGATATTTGGTAGGTGGGTAGGTCTTCATGAGACGTGGATTTGATTAGATTTTGGGCCCCCTAGCGGCTTGTTATGGTACTGCAGCTAAACTTCCGGTTTTGATATCTCGTGATCTGGACATGCTAGGGTCATGAAATTTAGATGGTAGATAGCTCTTGGGCTGGGAATGAAGTGACACGAGTTTGAGCCCCCTAGCTGCTTGCTCTGGAACTGCAGGGACATTAGTTGAAAAATGTTTAAAGGTGGATAACTCAAGAACCGATTGATGGATCGTCGTGATTTTTGGCATGTAGGTAGCTGAAGTGATGCTTGACATAATAATATTACAATTATGCAAATATTAATGTAATATGCATAATTAATGAGCAAATTCTGTAAATCAGCTGCATTCAATGATAGGACTATTCAAGCTTGTGTCATATGTAATTAAGAACGGCAGAAATACATGCAGATATCAATTATGCAAATGAGGACTTAATTTGCATAATTAATGAGAAAATGTCATAATTATATAGTGTTAACTGCCTGGAATTTCATACTTGGGATATTTGAAAGTTATGTGAAGGTGAACATAATTATACATAACTTATTCAAATAAGGACTGCATTTGCATAATTTATGAGGAAATACTATAATGGCATTCTTTGATAAGATAAGACTATCTTCTGGTGTAGAATATGATCAACAGATATAATTGATGCAATGTAGGATCCTATTTGCACAATCAGGGGGATTAATCTATTATTTCTTAGTCATAAAGGCTAACATCATTTGGCGAAGGTATGAGATCGTGGAACTATAGTTATATCATGTTATTATGCATGTATGAATTCTCCTAGTAGTCACATATTCACGTGGGCAGGTAAAGGAGGAATTAAACTATTCATTCATTCGTTTAAACCATTATAACTGAATTGTCGAAACGTTGTTTCAACTACGTATGCCACGACGTGTTTACTCTTTAGTCAAGCGTACAAAAGGAGCCACAAGTCGTCCACAAGTATAATGACGTCACAGAGGACAGGAAGAGAGAGTTCAAGGAAAGACAGGAATTAGAACAAGAGAGACAGGAGAGGGAGGAAGAGAAGCGTCTCAAACAACTGCAAGATGAGGCCAACAGGAAGAGACAGGAGCTACTTAACTATAGATTCGGGGATATCCACGGGCAGCAGTACTTCACCCAGACCGTCGCCGGACTAGACGTCCGCGATATGCAAGAGTCAGGTCTGAGGATCGGACTGCTTGGCCCGGCAGGGTCAGGGAAAAGCAGCTTCATCAACACGTGCGAGAGGGCCCTGAAGCCAGGCCTTCGCAGAGGTAAGTAAGAGGAAGCATTTATGTTTACCGAAGGAAAACATATTGTTTTTGTTCAGTTTCTTCTTCTTCTCCAAACCTTGACCTCAGTGACCTGAACCAATGTTGTGTCTGTTACCATGGTAACTAGTGTTGGGTTACTAGTACATCATGTTGCAATTTTATAGCAGGAGGGATTTACACTCCTGTCAGACCCTATATATGAATATGAGTAAGAATTAACATGCAAAGGTAAACATTATGCATGAATGAATGAATGATACTTTATTTCCGTGTCGTGCGCTATCCCGCGCCCAGCCCGTGTGGGCTTATACGACACCGATTCAATAAGTTATACATAAACAAAAGACGATCAAAGGTACAGATAACAGAATCCAAACAAAATATGAACGCAAATAAAGGTAGGCTATTTACAATAATGATGAACAAATAAGTGAACTCATAACAGATCGTAAATGCAAATAAACAAATCTGAACATAATGGACCAAGAGTTCACAAAATAAATACAATTGCATTATGCAAATGATATCTTTCTAGCTAATTTGAGAGTTTTATTGGCTTGGTGGTTGCAACAGATCTAGAATTCTTTCATTTGATCGAAATGATGAAGACCTTACCTGTTTTTTTTTCTGCTATTTTGCTGCAGGCACGGCCGACATCCAAACAGCCCATGCGGAGGGAACCGTCGTCTTGCAAGAGTTCCTGGACGACCTTGACAATGACTTCTGCCTTGTCGACACGCGAGGACTCTTCCGACACGACTTTGGCGAGTTTTCAGCGCTGGCCTACATCGTGTATGGGCGGTTCAGACCTGGCCAGGTACTGCATGCACAGTGAATTATCTATAGTGCATGTACATGTGCACTTGACGCTTTATTTTTCACAAACTGACAAAGGCTCATGAGGTGTACGTTTTTTTTGTTTAAAGTTAAAAGCTTTGTTCCAACAAAAAGAATGGTTCTCTTCTGGAAGTTTTGACTAGTCAGTCTGGTTATCCTCAATAGACTGTCCAAATAGGTGTTTATCATCAGAAATTATTCACCGTTATATATTTTCCTGCTCCCTATATCGGCAAACTGTACTCTTAACGCTGGTCACCTCTCCTGGCATGTTATCTTTTTTTTATATTCTAACATCTAATCACAAGACGTGGTGACGGCACACTCAAGATTTTTCAACTTATATTAATGTCGCCAACAACAACACAGGGGACAATACAATACTCATTTTCACCTGAGGGAAGTGAGGAAAGTCGTGTAAAGTGCCTTTCCCTGGCAAAAGATCGGTGGCATGTCAGGACTCGAACCCGGGACCTCTTGGTTCCGAGTCGAGCACTCTGCCGCTACGCCACACGACCCTACTTCGTCTGTCCGTCTGTCTGTCTAACTTCTACTCTACCCAGCCGCTTCGCGAAGCCTGGTGGAGGCTATGTTGTCGTTACATTGGCTTGTTTACTTATTTCAAATCTCCAGGAAGTCACGTTTGAAACACCGGCAGACAAGGAAGACTCTGAGGAGAGCTTCCCCAACTGGCTCCACGCTATCATCATAGTCCTGTCGGCGGCAGACCCACGTCTACAAGACGGCCACACTCACAGGAACAACTTGAAGATCGTGCGCGACTTCATGCGTCAAAGAGGCAAGTTACAAATGCTATAATTTTATGTCGTGGTCATCAATCATATAGTCATCCTCAAGAGAGGTGAAGCATGATTGTGTTTACCGAAGGAAAACATATTTTTGCTCAGTTTCTTCCTCTTCTTCTTTTCCAAACAGTGACCTCTGACCTGACCAATGACGCCTGTCACCATGGTGACTGGTGTTGGGTTATATAATGTTGCAATTTCATGGTCTGCTCTGCTCCTGTCACCATATACTAGTAGTACATACATACATGTGAATGTGTTCGAGTAAGAATTAACAGAGCAGACCATGTCCGAAGGTAAACATTATGCATTTGCTTTGCAAATGTTACTTCTCTAGTTTTTTCTGTACTTGTACAATTCAGCTTTCGCAGATATATTGCAAGGTCCATTATCACTACTAAGTGCAGCAGAAGCCTTACCAGCCTATAATCGATGTGTTTAAAAGTTAGTCTGGCTAGCTGGCGAACTATTCCACAGTGGAACATGTTGTCATATAAAATCCGATCGGGGCCCACTTTGTTGATAGCTTTAACGTTACAGTCCGAGAAAGGTACAAATTGTTTAGGTATGCCAACTTCGGTGTGGCGTGCCTGCGAAGCTGGTGTACTTTTTTTTTACGTCAGGAGCTAGCTAGTTTACCAGTTGGAAGATTTATGTTTGTTATTTTTTTTTAAACCGCAGTTGCGGATGATGCTTGACATGATCACCTTTTCAATTTCTCTAGTGGTTACGGTCGTCACACACCACGACAGGATCGACGAAAGTCAAGAAGACGACATCCTGGCCAAAGCGTCCGCGGCAACCGGCAGCTCTCGCGACCGCACATTTTTTGTCGCCAACTACCACATAGATAAGACGAAAACAGGTCAGTAGCATCCGTCCCTTCTTTGCGTACATGTCTCCATTTCATACTAAATGTATTTACAACGCGTAAACCTTCAAAAAAGCTATGGGAGAGAGTGAGTGAGTGAGTGAGTGAGTGAGTGAGTGAGTGAGTGAGTGAGTGAGTGAGTGAGTGAGTGAGTGAGTGAGTGAGTGAGTGAGTGAGTGAGTGAAACATAGAAAGTCATTCCTCACATGTTGCTCACTGTAGGCACTGTCTCACCAACATACTTTCTCTTGCTCGCTCTCTCCCGCTCTCTTTCTTTCTCTCTCTCTCTCGTACACACACACACACTCTCTCTCTCTTTCTATTTTTGTCTCTTTCCATCAAGATTGTTGGAGTCAATCCTTCATATATCAATTTTTCTCTAATGTCATTGTGCGTCCTTTTGTATGTTTAGATTACCATACAGAAATGGAAGCAATGGAGGCCATGAAGTCGGCACTCAATGTCGCGGAGCGCTACGTCGTGATGCACAAGCTACAAGAACAACTGTAAAAATACGATGAAGCATCAAATAATAACGTACAGATGACAGGTGAGATATGCCATTATTGATTTGAAAGTTAGTTAAGGTATATGTGTAGGAACTTTCGCACCTCTCTTTCTTTAGGCAATGTTGATTTGATTATATGGATGACATCCGCGCGCGCATGAATTTTCGTCCGTTTCCAAATAAAAGGTTTCTACCATACTATAAATTGTACAAAGTAGGAGCAAAATGAGCAAATAAATGCCGTAAATTGGAAACAAAATATTGGAAAACGATACTTGTTGCAGAATACCAAAATCCATTCCAAAGGTCAATAAGAAAATGTGTAGGAATGAAAATTATTCACCATGCCAATAAAATATTACTCTGTGTGTTTAGTCATTTGTTCAACCTTCATGACCACCTAGATGTCATAATGAAAGCAACTTTTTTTGCCAAACTTTTTTTATTCGCACGCTCGCATCAGTTTTTGGGGTTCTCAGGGGATGTCATCCATATAATCAAATCAACATGGCGTTTGGAGAGGAGAAAGTTGAGAACTCGATGATATCACAAGATGTCGTCATAGACAAATAAAACAAGCCTTTTTTCTGACCGGTCGCTACCGTGGTTCGTGCGAGTTGGCCCGAGAAATTCTGAAAAACGCGGCAAATTTAGGGGCACGTGTACTGTGTAGATCTGCACTGCGATTGGTTAGGGCGGATCAACCTTACACTGTGATTGGCTAAGACAGGTCGTGCTCCGCCCGTGTTCACCACGTGATAGAAGCCCACTTGTACATCACTGTTGCGCAACATCAATTCATGACCCCATAGGTATCTACATTACTGATTACTGTTTTGTTATCAAGCAGGGAGGTCCAGTGCCGAGGAGATACAGTCAGCGACGGAAAGCGAGAACGAAGACAGCGGTTCTAAGCGTTAGTAGGTCCAGAAATTTCCTGAATCCCGCTCGTTAGTTACATAACAAAGTAAGCATATAGCTTCCGAATACAGCCAATGCAATACTAGTATCTAACTATGGCCGTGTTTATGTGAAGTCACCCAAAGCGCTTTACATGTGGTTTACCCCGAAGCCGGTTTCAAGTGGCTCCATCTGAACGCTCCAAATCACATTAAAAGCGCCTCAATCCCAAACCACTTCTAGAGGTGGTTTCGAATCGGTTTTCCCGCATCGCGATTTGTGTCTGAACGCAATATGATTTCAATGTGACTTCACTTGGTCATGGATTACGGGGTGATATATCTTTATTTATATGCAATACCAAATTTTACGTGTCAGCAACTTAAAGAGTAGTAATGGTCAAATAATGTGTCCGTTCTAGGACGAGCTTCACCGCCTCTGGCGGGACTACGTCGGCATTCAGCCGAGATACGCTGGGAGGGGGGCACCGGCAAGCAGGTCGTTGACCTCTGACAATAATAAAAGTATATACTACAATAATGACACGCTACCTAGCGTGTTTTCATCAAACAATGAATACAGTTTCGGAGAATCGTGATAGGGCACGTTTTAAAAGGAATGTATGGCACGTGGACCAGATGTGAGGAATGTGAGTTACCCGAATCGCGGTTTGGGTGACTTCACATAAACACGGCCTATGTCTAGGTTTCATGCAAATGAGAGAGACTACGCAGATGAGATCATACCGGTGTATTATAAAGCAGTCAAACCCAGTAGTTTTTACTAGTAGTTTCTTAGTAGTTATCAGTAGTTCTATGTGTACCAATTGTCTGTTTTTTATACCAAATGTTTCTTCTGTTCCTGCAATTAGCCCTCGGGCATGAATTTGCAATAAAACAGTTACTATTTCTTGTCAAGCATGCCCTCAGCTGTCTTCTTTTTGCATAAGTCGTAGCATAAGTTCGTTTAAAAGAAATGGTGATCATATATGGTACACGTACATGATGCTCCTTGTTCCACAAAGTTAGTTAACATAATTCATGTAGTCATTTGTACTTTATTTTGTGCTTTCAACTCAGCATTTGGGCCTTGAAAGTTAGCATCTCTTGAACTGCCTAGTAACGAACCTTATAACATTTGATATTGTTATACTGTTACTGTTTTGTCGTCTGTAAGCCTTAACAAAGCTGGATTTTAGCAAATACATGCATACCCTGCATACAGACAGTGGTAGTCATAGACTTGCATGCACTCTGCATACTACGAAGTGGCTACATAAGAATACCACACGAATGCTTGGTAAGACGGAAATGACTACGGGGGCAGAGCTTTCTTTATGGCTTTCTTCTGCCCAATCGTCAGGCTGATGTCATCCAAGCCCTCCCGAAGGTCGCTGACGTCATAGATGTCCTTGTCTTGCATCTGCTTGACCAGGGCGTCGGTGCGATCTCTGTCCCAGTTGTGCGCCTTCCCGAGGGTCTGGATGAAGTCACCGACTGACTGGGACTCGGGGCCTGTGGAAACATATTGCATATGCATTGAGACCAACTCCCATATGATTGTACTTATGATTGTACAATATCTATGTATTATATGTGTGTTTGTGTTTGTGTTTGTGTGTGTGTGTGTGTTTGTGTGTGTGTGTGTGTGTGTGTGTGTGTGTGTGTGTGTGTGTGTGTGTGTGTGTGTGTGTGTGTGTGTGTGTGTGTGTGTGTGTGTGTGTGTGTGTGTGTGTGTGTCGTGTGTGTGTGTGTGTGTGTGTGTGTGTGTGTGTGTGTGTGTGTGTGTGTGTACGTGTAGGGGCATTATCACTAGATTATAGCTTTAAACAATGTTTAGTGTTAGATGTACAAGGGTAAGATGTAACGAGTCGTTCGGCGTGCCTGCAAAGCTGGTGTGTTATACCGGCTGTACAATGAGATACAGAAACTTACCGCTCCCTTTTGCCTGACGTTCTCTGGAGTGCTTCTCACGCTGCAGCCGGACCTTGATGAATTTTTCTGCCGCGGTCACTGCGGTGTCCAGGATGTCCAACACGTTCAGCACCGACTCCGGGTCTTTCTTCACGTCACTTCCAGATGCCAGGTGGTTGATGAAAGGAAAGGTTCTAAAAAAGAGGACAGATACAGGAATTTAATTACTCAAACACATTCATATACTGAGTCAGACAGGAGTCTAAATCCCTCCTGCTATGAAATTGCAACATGATGTAACCCAACACCAGTTACCATGGTGACAGAAGGTCATCGACCTTTTTGCTTTGGAGAAGAAGAAGAGGAAGAAACAGAGCAAAAACAATATGTTTTCCTCGGTAAACATAATTAAGGAAACAAACCTGAGAGTAGGATGTAGCACGCTCCATGGTCAATAAACTGTAAATAAAAAATCACCCCAGTGCATATTGTTGAAAAGATATCATGTCCAGGTACCTACTTGTCTATGGGACTTCCTACTGCAGCAGACAATTCCTCCATGATTTCACGTCGTTTGTCTTCGTCCTTGAAGTCGTTCTCGTTTTCAAAGGCTAGAGCAGCGAGTGGGCTGTAACCTGGGGAATGTATGGAAAGGTAGGGGGAGGGCAGTCAGCACTATTTGTACTGGCAGCGAAATCCAACAGAACTGTAGGCAATGTTTTATAGAGCTGAAAGCCAATCGTAGAAAACTGCTCACAAATATCATTTAATAAAGAATTATGTATGATTTTTCCTTTGAAACCCTCTCGCAGGAAATACTATTTCAGACTTTTTTTTAATAATCTGTTTCAATATTGTTGTATGTATATGATCTGCAATTAGCCTCCGGGCACGAATTTGCAATAAACTTCTCGCTAATATTCAAAATTTTCCGGGGGGACATGCCTCCGAACCAGCCTAGGAAGCTCGCGCCATCGGCTCTCGCTGGTCTCTCATACAGTGGGAAGAACACAACCCCACCCCCTTCAAAATCCTGGCTACGGACATGCACAGCACGAAAACACATATTTAAGCCAACTTTACGAACTGCGTTAAGAGGTATTAAAGGCGGCGAAATATTTTAGCAGCCTTTACGACATCGGAAAGGCAACTGAAAGGTAAATATGGCCTTTCCGTAACCTCTCCACATGTGTAAATGTCACGTTAATATAACGTGTTTCCTTCCGTAAGCTTTACATGGACTTAAATATAATGTAAATAATGCATTGCGGTAGTGAGTTAACTAGAGGTATCTCAAAGCCATATGATCTTTTTAATTATTATGAAGTCCTTACCAACCTCGCGCGACTAAACACACGCATTCTATATGCTTTAATCTTTGATTTTACCTGAAATATTATATATCTTCCATAGTTTCTCGCTGAATCGCCGCAAAATGTAACATTATTATGCCTAGTCGTTTCTATATGTTTATGTCTAGCTTTCCAAAAACATACAGTTCCTTAATATGGTTTAGGGATTACCTTTTGCCCTTAGGTAGTCCTTCATAGACTTCATCCTCTCCCTGTACTGCTTCAGTCTGGGGTCCTTGTCCACCATCACACAGATGACGCCGTGGATCTGCTCGCCGAGAGGCGCGTCGTCGGCCCGTTCGTGTTGCTCCGGAGCAAAAGCCGCCTCATCTGTTGAACGCTCGATCGTCATCCCTGGGCGGATCCTGCCTGCAAACATTTTTTTAACAAGAAGTCGTAGACATCATCACTCCATAAAATCGTTTGTTGTTTTGTTATCTTTTAGTGTATTGTTACCTAATATGTTACCCTAACATCACAACCACACACCATCAAAAACCAACAGCTCTATCAAAACTTTATCTATTTCAAACACCAGAAGCAAACCTTGCAGCAGGGATGAGAATCCCTGAATTGAAAGAGTTTGCGTACAGAAAAAAAAGTTACAATAGGCAAGGCAAACAATATACACAAATGTATACACACCCTCATATACACTATAATACATAAAAAATTTGTACCAAGCAAAAAAACTATATACAGATGAGGTTTAGGAAAGATAAAACTAGTGATATGTCAGTTCTTTGTTGTATAGGGCTAGTTATTGTTTTAAATTCTTACTGCAGTACCAAGGTCAATCACCAGGGACCCAAACTCATTCAACAGAATCTAACATACCCCACCAACCCACCTGCCAAATATCATCCCATTCGATCGGACAGATCTTGAGATATACACCAAAACATCATCCAGACTAAATACAAAGACACGCCATTTTATGGAGTGTAAAAGGCATGAAAGCATGTAACGTTTCCTTTTAAGTGCAGGCCTTTTATGTGCCACTGCGCGTTTTACATAATATATGTCATCCAATATAATTTTTAACGTGCTACTACGAGAGCATCCAGGGCGAGAACGCACGTGCATGTGAGCTTACACGCCAAAACAACCGTCTTTCTTTATAGTGTTGACTTTCTCAGTTCTTTTGCTCATATCTGACATGTATAGAACCTGCATAGTAGCATGTAGCATAATAAATCAGCAGAAAATAGACAATTCAAAACATTAATTTTTATTTATTTTATCATCAGCTGACTACAACAGATGAAAAACATTGATATACCTGTCAAGATTTTCTGTAACTCCTCAGACCACCCCTTGTCCAATTCAAAGTAGCCCCTTGTGTCGATCAACCTAAAGTTGAACTTAGTGAGGTACTCTTCCAGGTGGATGGTACCCTCCTTTCCCGTGCTTTGTGTAATGGCAGTGGCCTCACCTGTTATTTCAAGTAAAAAAAAAACAACCACAACAACATTACTAGTAGAACGTAAACGTAAATACGCGGTGTTTTTTTTTTATTCTTTTTTGTTTATATTCCAACAATTCATGACCAAACATGCCAACGGCACACTCAAGTTATATCAACTTATTTTATGCCGCCACCAACACAGAGTACAAATACAGGACAGGGCAATACTCATTTTCACTTCTTGAGTTAAGTGAGGAAAGTCGTGTAAAGTGTCTTTCCCAAGGGCACAAGATCAGTGGCATGTCAGGACTCGAACCCAGGACCTCTTGGTTCCAAGTCGAGCACTCTGCCGCTAAGCCACACGACCCCACGACCCCGCTGACTTTTTCAGCGATGTTGATGATACCTATTGTTGATTTTACTTCATAACAATTGGTCTTTCGGACCTACTCTAAAATGAATCCATTGTACTTAGTCCCGTGTGTGCTGAGTAAACATTTCGATGCTCTTACCCGGACCCATCATGACTTTTTCAGCGATGTTGATGAAGCTTGACTTCCCACTTCCTGTCGGGCCAATCATCGCTACAAAGAAACGAGAAATACAATAGAAAACGTTTGTGAATATGTCATATTCAACAGAGCAGCAATAAATCAGTACAAAGATACTGTAATATTGGATATTGAACATCCAAGTACTGAGAAGAGAATAGTGGGAACTTTGTCCTTTTTTAGTATATCATTGCATCTCAGGCGAAAGAGAAAGGAGAGAGAAGAGAGAGAGAGAGAAGAGTTAGATAGAAGAGAGAGAAGAAGGGAGAGAGAAGATAGGGGAGAGAGAGAAGAGAGAGAAGATAGGGGAGAGAGAGAAGAGAGAGAAGATAGGGGAGAGAGAGGAGAGAGAGAAGATAGGGGAGAAAGAGGAGAGAGAAAATGGGGGAGAGAGAGAAGAGAGAAGAGAGAGAGAGGAGACAGAGAGAGAAGATAGAGAAGATAGGGGAGAGAGAGAAGAGACAGAGAAGAGGGAGAGTAGAGGGAGAGTAGAGGGAGAGTAGAGAGAGAAGAGAGAGAGAAGAGACAGAGCGAGAGAGAAGAGAGAAGAGAGAGAGAGAGAAGAGAGAGAGAGAGTAGAGAGAAAAAGAAGAGTGTTAGAGAGAGGAGAGAGAGAAGAGAGAGAGAAGATAGGGGAGAGATGAGAGAGAAGATAGGGGAGAGAGAGAAGAGAGAGAAGATAGGGGAGAGAGAGAAGAGAGAGAAGAGACAGAGAAGAGGGAGAGTAGAGAGAGAGAGAGAGAGAGAAGAGAGTGAGAAAGAGAGAGAGAGAGAAAGGGAGATAGAAGAGAGAGAGAATCTGACCCACCTATGTTAATATTCTCCATCTCCTTGACATCTGCCGGGAAAAATTTGCCAAGCCGCAGTTTCGACCCAACTTCGTACTCCTCCAGGTCGTTCTTTATCCGCAGGTACGTCTCCTTTACCTCCTTCATCCTCTGACTCCCACGGCGCTGTTCGAACTCTTTGACAGCTTCAGCGATGCCTCGTTGTTCGGCGTCGTCGTCCCAACGGTCGTGCCATCTTACTACCTCCTCGGTCTCCT